TCTCAGCTCCAAACACTTCAGCTACCCCAACGTATTCAGTCTACTGCTGAGCTTGAATCACATATAACAATTGCTTGTTCCAACGGGCTTTTCTCACTGAGCACCAAAGAACACTAGCAATGGAAGAAGGGCTTTCCTCAGCATGACGTGGGAGCTTTGCAGAGGCACGGTAAGCAGGTGGCTTTACCGTCATGGTGCCCGTGAATCTGTGGGGATTCACTGAGTACGGCCAGTCTACGTGCATCTTGTCACAGCCTCAGAACTCCCCTGCACAGGGTGCTGAGGGGTGCTGTGAGACTCCCGCAGGATGAAGAACTGGGCAACTACCAGCAGACCGGAAGCTCTGGCCCCTGCTGCCGCCCTCTAGGCCTCCCACCTCAGCAACCCGTCTGGGCTGTGCCCCATGCCTTGGTAGTCTGTTCTCCATGGATGGGCCAGTGGTCCTATTACGGCTTACAAGGGAGTCGAGCCCATCACTCTCCTGTTGAAAGCTTGATTGCGCTTCCTCCAACTCAAAATTAAAACTACATTCCCTGGCAAGCTCAAGGGCCTGAGTTCGATCCCAGGTTCTGCAAAAAAAAAAAAAAAAACCACTACAGCAGCCCACCAAGCCCTTCGCATGGGGCCGACCCCACCCTCCACCTTCGGACATCCCCATAGACCTCTTATGTCATTCCCATTCTCTCCCACAGTGTCCGTTCTGCTGCCTACTGAGCTCTTGCCCCGCCTGGCTCCACGGCTAACCCTCTAGGCTACTTCATATGTTGGCTCAGGTATCAGCTTCCAAATGAATCCTGACCACTCTACTTAAAACTCCAACCTGCACCTTTGATCTCTTCTACTCTGCTCTATTTGTATTGCTTCCCCCTTCTAGCATAATATGTCATTCAATATAATCCAATATGCTGGCTCGGGAACTTACCCCAAGTACCTAGACCAGAATTCAGCACCTAGGAGGTGCTCAGTAAATATTTGTTGAACGGATGAATAGTGCCTCAACTGTACCGCACTACACAGTTCAGCTCTGCATCTTCTATAGTATGGGGTCTTTATAATAACTCTAGGAAGTAGAAATTATCATCCTCTTCTAGCAGATAAGAAAATTGAAAGCCAAAGCTATTAAATGGCTTGTCTTTGGTACTGTAAGAAGTAACAGATCTGAACGCTCATCCTGTGTAGCTGAAGTGCTTCATATGGGCTGAATTTTAATTTGCTTAGAATAAGAAAATTAAATTTCTACCATTGCTGTGGAGGTTAAGAGTCAGCTCCAAGCCCTTTCACCCTCCAGGAGCTCTACTGCAGTTTTCTATGGCTTTAAAAGTCATTCATCCCTCCTTGCCACGTAGAGTAGATTATTTCTCTTGTTATTTCCAATGGAATGTGTGACTTGTGGCTGTAAGAACGGAAGCCACCCTGCTCCCATAACACCACATCCTCTAAAAACATCTGTCTTGCATTACCCCAGATCTTCAGATTACTAGCATTAGGCAAGGATGTTCAGGGCATACACTGGGCTTTCTCACAGTGGCTCTGACCTTCGTTAGGCCGCGGAGTTCTCTGGGACTCTGAGGTGCACGGCAGTCCCTTTCTCCCAAAAACTCTTCTGTATGTAACTGTGCACACATGGACAGAATGCATCAGATTTTGCACTTGGGTAATTTCAGTCATCCAAAGCGCTGTTGGAATCCACTCAGAAGCAGAGATTTAGAGCCCTTGCCTAACAGTGGCAAAGTGGTCATGAGTACTAGTTCTCTGTCAGATCCTTAAAATGCTGCTTGACTGTTAGCATAAGAGGAACAATCTTGTCATTCCAGGAGGCTTTGTGCTTTCCTTAGGGCTTGTTCCCCCTCACTGTGAGCAATAATAAAGGCATTCGGAGTGAGCCTTCCAGAATTTATTTTGTAACCCACTGCTCGGAGCCTAGTCAGTAACCAAGTTGTGCTGCAACCACAGGCCACTGAGCAAGCCATTGTTCTAAGACCCAAAGGTCAGCCAGGCCCTGAGCACGCAGACCTCCCAGTTTCCACTTTAACATTGGACACCCAGCTACAAAGCAGAGGCTAAAAATAGACCGGGCCTAGTTCCTACTAAATGAACCCCACAGAGGTACATTCCCAGCTCTGGGGCCCCCACCAAGAACACTGCTCACAACCCAAAGAGGTACTGTACTGTACTGTACTTCTTTAGAAGGAAAGATCATTTCACTCCAAATAAACTTGAATACAACTGGAAGCAATTGAGAAGAAGATTTGGAAGTGCTCAAAAAATATTACCTGCACCTGTGCTTTTCAGGTCTTAAAAAAGAAAGCAAAATAACTCCCGGATGACGAGGGCCTTCTTGGTCTTCTATATTGCAGGGTACAAAGGAAAGCAGGCAGCATTTTCTTCCCCCTCCTATTTCTACCTCAGTGTTTCTACCCAGAGCTTGAGTTGTTCAACATAGCAGCCACCGCTACATACCTACCTGCCTGCATACAGATGCACATAGCGGGGAGGACCGAGCTGTGGTGTTGAGCAGGGCGAAAGGAGTGCATTTTCCAGCTCCATTTCGCAAGGAGTCTGTTGGCTATGGGTTTCATAAATAAAACAGCCAAGGCTTCCAAAGAGTATATTCAGCAAATATTTTTGGAATGAAACATATTTAAGATCAATTATTAGTATTTGATATAATAAATCAGATTATGAGTAAATATGGTTATTACATAAATTGCAAAAGGCTTTCATAAATTTAAAATATTTTTAACAAAAGAGATGAAGAGATGAAGACAATTTGCAAATACAAGTACGTAAAATTCTATAGATTCTTCCACATTGGAAAAATGAAACAAGCATTCCAGAAGCTATGGCGACAACTGCAGGATACTGAAACACCCAGCTTTCACAGCCCTGGCACATACAGTCCAGGAAAATGCACTCCTTCTCTGTTACGGGACAGCTGCTTTCCTAAATGAGGCTCTTGAACATACCCATGGAACATTTTTCAGGAGAATGAAATGATGCTGCCGCATACACACGGTGTTAATTCCTCCCAGCGTTTCCTTGGAAGAATTCATTTGAAGCAAGTGCTAAGAGACGTAAATTTCCCCTCTGTGACACTGTTTCCACAGGGGCCGCCAACACGGGATCCTCGCGAGTACCCCGTGGCAGAACATGACCCCTGAAATCGAGCGCACCACAAGATCCTGTTCCATCTGAAGTGGGATTTCAGAGCCACGATGCGTTCCGGGCACGCCCCGGCGGACTCTGGCTCTGCCACTGAACCTGACAGATGCGCCCAGGAGGTCGCTGTTGGTGACAAAAGGAGAGTTGCAGATCAGGTGCTGCTCCCACCCAGGGGCATTCAGGACTTCGGCCCGTGGAGGCCTTCTTCCTATCTGTTCATATAAAGCACTTGATGATTTCAAGAATTTTTTAGATGCCTAGAGATAAATGCTTTTTCCTGTTTCCCTGCCAGATATTTATGTTTGGAAGACAAAATTATGTTATAATAACAAAAAAATACCATCTTTGCCAGAAAAAGATTAGAGGCACCAGGTGTACCAACTACATAGCCCAGAAATGTCTCCATTTTGAAAATCAGCTCTTCTCTCTGTAGGCTATGGATGACAGTGAAGATCCCTTTACCTTGCAAGTGGTGTTTAAATGCCCATGAAATATTTCTTTTTCTTTTTTTTTTTTTTTATGTATTTAGTACAGGGTGTACAGGGTTCACAGGGTCTCACTACACAGATCAGACTTGTAGTGATCTTTTGTTTTTCCACCTCCCAAGCTCTGGGATTACAGGCGTGCACCACCACGCCCAGTCTCAATCACAGTCTCAGCTTGCCCCGGGGACAGGGTTGGCACAGCAGGCCAGTGATGAAACCCCTGGCCCCCGCATCTGCCTAAGCAGGCACTTCAATCTGCTGAGCTATCTGGCTGGCCCAAAATATTTCATCCTGAATAACGAGAGAATAAATATTGCCTTAGACTGAAAAAGTAAATGTCTCCCCAACATTTATCAGGCTGGGCCCACACATGGAAAGGCCAACTGCACAATCGACAGGAAAGGGCATTCTCCTGGGGACACTGCTGCTTCGTGGTGCCACGGCAGCCTCCTCTGTCCTCCTGCATGGCTGCAGACTCCCCACGGAACTTTCTTTTCTGATATCGACCACTGGCAGTGAGGTCGCTGAAACTCCCCCAGCAAGAGTGAAACACCTCACTTTGTGTGGAGGATCCAGTCACTCGATGCAGTAAAGCAGTCTCAGCTCCCACCCCAGTCTAAGAGCTCCAGAGGAGTTCTGGATACAACAGCCCACATTTATCTTGGTTCTATTGTTGAAGAAATGAGGCCCTGGGCTTGCCTTTCAGACCAGACAGATAGGACATTCCACCCTTCCGAGAACCCTAAAATAACTCTTTTCTAGAATACAGCTTCCCTCATTACCAGGGGCTGATGCATCTAAATTTGTTGGAATACAGGGTTGTTTCTATTATTCTTAGGTGGACCCAGATAAGGCCATGTTACTCAGAAAAATGCTCCAGGTTAAAAACAACAATAACAACTATTTGCTGTGTGACTAATAGCTCAGAATTTTGAAGATGATCTTTCAGATATTGACAAAAGAAACACATCTCTGCTTTTGTGTAGTCTCCTATGACCTGTGAATTGCAAATTCTATGCACCTCATCTAAGCAGAAACACTGTAAGAGCTAGAAAACTGGCTGTGAGTATTGAAATGCTATTTTCTGACTCTGCCGCTGCTGCAGCAGTTGCCTGTGGCGAGTTCTCCTGCTTCTAGAAATGTCACAGCTGGCAACTAAACACTGCCGGTGAGATTGTGAAGCTCTCTGTGAATCTCAGAGACAAGAAAGGGAAGCAGGTAGGAAGGACACAGGTTGTCTAGAGCAGCCTCCACACCTGGAAGGCTGGGCGTTTGAGGAGAAAGGAGAAATGACCAGGGAGGTTATTCAGAGCATGCACCTCTTTCCTGGTTGGAAGGCCGCTCATGACCTACCCGTGGGAGTAGCCATAGTCATAGGCTGAGGTGGCCTTGCGTCTGACTTCAGCGCCGAGGGAGTAGTGCGAGGCCTGCTGCTGGGAGGAGGCCGCTACCTGGCTGAAGGCCTGGGACTCTTGGCGGTGGGCGGCGGAGGAGCGGCTGCTGTAGGCTGCGGAGCCATGTGTGTAGATGGCCGAGCGCTGCTTCTCCTGCTGGTAGTGGCTCATGGCGGTGCGAAGGTCCTTGTCGCGGTAGCTGAGGTCATAGTGCTGGTGGGACTTCTGGTAAAAAGGCAAAGCCATCTTGCGCCCCTCAGGGATGCAGGCAACCTATGGGAGAGCAATTCTTGAGTGAACTTCTGGGGAGTGAATCCCACAGAACAAGTCTTCTACACCCACCTGCACGAGGTGTCACACTCTTTTCTTCCCAAAGAGTGGGCGGGAAAGGATGTGAAGGTGCGTTTAAGTGGTTATACCCATCAAAGTCCTGTGTGTGTCCCCATCTGCCATGGTGCCTTCTTTTTCCTTTCTATCTAGGAAGGCTTGACAGATTAACTGTCCCTACCCTGGGTATTGGTGGCTTTTTTCTCTGACCCCCTATAACACTTATTTCTAATTTTCCGGCATTCTATCCTGAGGGGCTTCATCTGGGAGAATATGTGATGACATGGAACAAAGTGGTGTTCACTCAACGAGTAATTAGCGAGCAGCCACTGAGCAGCCTCTGGCCTGGAGATCTGGGGTAGGCCTGCATACCTGTACACGTGTCCTAGTGTAGAAGACAGACGACAGTGAAAATAAGTGAGAAAGCAGACACCTCTGGCTGGTTTCAGTGCCATAAAGAGAAGGCAGGAGAGTGAGAAGGGATGACTACATTTGAGTTTTTACATTTTCGAACATCCAGGCTTTCCATACAGAGCGATTTTTCACGGGGAGTTGGGGCGCGCACAAGACACATCCGCATCCTCCCCCCTCCCCCGCCCTCATCTTTCAGTCCCCTACCCTTTTGCAAAAGTGCTCTCTCTCTCTGTTTCTTGTTATCTTTTATTCAGACACAGATTTCAGTAACCTCGTATGGGGTGGCTTTGCTGGAAGGTGGCATCCGAGCAGGAGAACAGCACAGGAGAGAGGGACAGTCCACACAAGGGGGCCAAGAGCACAGCTGTGTGCCTTGTGCTCCGGGTGCCACCAACAGCCAGTGGGTTGCAGGGGCTGGGAGGGGCTTGAGGTACAAATGATGTCAGAGAGGTGAGGGGCAGGCGGGGGCAAGGCAGATGGTACAAGGCCCGAGAGAGACAGAAAGGACTTTGGCCTTGATCCTGAATGGGCTAAGAAGCCACTGCAAGGGTCCAGGATCACTTCTGCTGATTTCTGAAGAAGAGAGGATTCAGGGATCAACAGGAAAGCCAGGAGATCCACCAGGAGGCTGTTACAGGCTGAGCCATAGCCCCCCAAATTCATATTCTGAGGGCCTAGCCCCTGCCATCTCAGAATGTGACTACATTTGGAGATAGGGACCTAAAAAGAAATTAAAATGAGGTCACTAGGAAGACTCAACATGACTGAAGAAAGAAAGAAAAGGAAATCGAGACCCACATCATGGAAGAGCTTATGGACACACAGGGAGAAGAGGGGCATCCACAAGCCGAAGGGAGGCCTCAGGAAAAAGTTCCGCCAACTCCCAATCCCAGAGATCTAGCCTCAGAACTGCAAGAACATGGATTGCTGTTGGCTGAGCCAGCCCGCCTGCGGTGCTCTAGTATGGTGGCCGTGGGTGGTGCACATATACTCAAAGGCCCCTGCGAGGTCCAGGGAAGCGATGCTACAGTTGACAGAGAAGCTTGAAAAGTGGTCAGAGCCACACAGGATTTGAAGGCAGAATCAGTAGTACTGCAAAAAGTTGTGAGGGTGAAAGAACCCCAACGCTTTTATAACCGGAAGACTGAAGTTGCTATTGACTGAGGTGGGGCGGACAGAACATCATCAGTTTGGGATAGGAGAGGAGACTGGCTCCATGCGATCTGTGCCTGATTTTCAGTACCAGGGACTCACACACGCTAGGCAAGTGCCCTACCCGAGAGCTACCGCCCAGCAGAGGTGCTCCGTGTTTGCAAAGCCAGCTGGTCCTACAGGCGGTGACATTAAGTGGGAAGTCAGATGTGTGACTCGGGCACAGAGATACCTACATTTGGGGAACGGCATGTGATGACAATTACAAACAGAAAACTGAGTGCCAGGACCTGTTCCTGGGGTGTGACAAGGTTATAAACAAACTCAAATCTCAGAAGTCCTTCAAAAGGCCTAGCTTCAGGCTTTTGACTGATTAGGAACCTGAAGGCTTCCCATCTTCCCACAAGAAGACGTAGGAGAGCCAGTAGCCCTCTGTGTGGCAGGCGGCTTTGTGAACCTGATGGGACAGTTCTGAAAGCCAAAGATAAGTTTGCTTAGCATTGGGAGAAGACACCTCACATCACTTAGCTTCCTGGAATAATCTTTTCACAGGCCCATCAGCCACAAGAACAGCACAGAACAGGGTCAGAGTTTTCTTGAGGTCCCCACCCTTTTTTAAAAATGCTTTTGTTGATGTTCTGAAATGTTCTTCTAAAGTTTTATAAGAAAAATTAGTTTTGAAATAATCCAGGTTTTTTTCAAACCTTATTTTTCTTAAAAATAGTATTAAGGAGTAAATCCTTTCAAGATCACCATATTTTTGTCAAATTTCAAACTACTTTTTATTTAAATGACTTAAGTCAGCATTGCATTCCCTAGAGAAGAAAACCCAGCAAACTTTGCTCCAGAAATATTTATCTTAGCTCATGGACGATACCAGTCTACATGGAATTTCCTAAGAGGCAAAAGCCAGCTGCTAGCAAGCCACCCTGCTTCAACCCTTAAACAGATTGTTATTTTCTGTTATTAAATGAATAATAATTATTAATGCATAGTGAATAATTATTAGGTGAACTATGATGGTGCAGGAATTAGACTATATTAATATAGAATTAAGTGAAGTAGTTATAAAGATATTAGGTAAGGTTCTATCAAGATACAAACCACACTGTCACATGGTAAATCTTATCTGAATGACTTCCAAATAAATAATAAAGGGCCTCCCACTGTATTATGTTATAAGGTGAAATCATTACCCAGATAATTTGAAATGCTATAATTTTTTAATTGATTTTATTGAGAAATAAATAGCAATCAAACAGTTTCAAAACAGGTTAGTAGGACAGTTATAATGATTAATACCTTGCATAGTGTTGTCTTCATAGTATGCCATAATTTTTACAAAATAAAATCTTTATGTAGTCTGCCCCATCCACTCTAATTGTCCCCAGTACAACCATTTTCATATTTACCCTTCCATGCACATGGATTGTTTAGTACACATAAACAGGGTTGACTTGAAGTCACTAGGGCTGGCTGACCTTTGGCCAGAAGGTATAACTTTTGCCTCATCAAGTAGGCAACGTTTGCCTTCAGTGCATGACAGCTAGAGTTTGTTGGCTGGAAAGATGATTTTGTTGTCTTCTGTTTCTTTAAAGACTATATTTGTTTTCTGAAAATAATTTGAGAATTTAGGAAGACGTACAAATTCTGCAATTGCAATCTTGTAGAGCTTCACAGAGGCCAGTTCAGCTGTCACAAAGTACTCACACCTTCATCCACATCGTACCACCAGAGAAAAAACCCTGAATCACATTCTAGCGACTGCAGGGTTAATTTGCCTCCTTTCAGATTAATTCGTGACTGAGTAACGCAGGCCTATTGATGGGTAAAACCCAGGCTTTCCTGTCCCTCAGCCACTCCAGATCTGAAGCAAACTTCTGAGCTGTACCTTGGAAATACTTAACAGTTGTATCTATGACAGACATGACCTTATAGTTCCAGAACAGCAACCTAATTTAAAAAGCATACTACGATCTGAGAGAACAGCCTCCCAAGCCCACGGACAGCCTGCAGCCTGGTTTCCTTTCTGGGAGCTTAGCTTTCCTGTTTCTCCGCTATTTTGACATCCCTGCTGGAAAGCTGCTGAGCTGAGGAGCTGGAAGAAGGCACGCACTGACTAAGCACATTTTTCTGCACCAGTGTCACACTCACCAGCTTCCAAAGGACCAAGGGTGGTGGAACTGTTCCGATGCTGTGAGGAGCCGGATAAGACAACGAAAACCCCAGCTAGGCTGAATCCAAGGGAGAGCTAAGGGGCCGCACTGGAGACAGGAACCTGGGGGCCAGTTCAAAAATAAGGCATGTGGTCAGGCAGCAGAATGTCAGGCCTCACAGCCAGCCTTTTATGGCCAAGTAGGCAGATAAATATAGCAGCAGATGGGGAGGGCGTCCCAAGCCCAGAAGAGGACAGGCACAGGTAGGGCGCTGCCTCGGAAGTGTGGTTCCGTCAGTGCCAGACGCGGCTCTGGCCTAATTAAATCAAAGGCAGGCTTTGCATTGGGCTGTCAGAGCAGTGCTCCGTGTCACTTTGTCACTAAGTATTTAAAAGTGTAATGGAAAGAGTGGTTTGTGTTGAGAGCTAAAAATAGCTGTAGTAATCCGATTCTCCAAATGGACTTCATGGAATGCCAAGCGAGGGCTCTGGGTGTGCCATCAGCAACCCGTGTGTAGTGCCTCTCAAGACGTGAAGCGAAAGAAAGAGCCCGAACCCAGCTCGAGGCAAAACGGGAGCTGGTTGTGTGTGGTGGTGCGTTGGGGCTCACGATGCACAAGCCACCGTTACTCTCAGTTCAGGAAAATCACAAAGCAGGCCTGCTGCTTAATTCACTGAAGGCTTTTGAGGAGGATTTGGTCCAGGTGAGGGACATTAGGGGTTGAACTAGGGCTTTTGTATTGAGCTACATCCCCAGCCTTTTAAACTTCTTGACAAGACCTTCCTAAATTGCTCAGAATGGGCTTGGAACTGCGATCTTCCTGCCTCAGCCTCCCAGAGTGCTGGGATTAGACATGCCCAATCAGAGCTAGCTGGCAATCAGTGTTATATCTTTCTGAAACTCAGAGTAGGATCGATGTAACCAACAAGAGAGTCTTTGTTTCTCAGATGGTGCACCCAGTGAGGTGTAATCTGTGGTTAGAGCCTCACTGTGGACTAAGCCAGATCCAGATTCTAATCCATGGATGCCCTTTCACAGTCACATGACCTCATGCAGTTTCCTTTTGCATATGCCTGAATTTCTTTCTCTGAGAAAAGAGACAACAGAATCCCAATTATGGGACTGCTGTAGAAATTAAACATGGTGATGAAGACAAAGCATTTACCCAGGGACAGCCACAAAATAAAAGCTCACCAATGTCCAGTATTACTACTAAGAGGAATAATAGAAAAGTTCAGGCCAGTGAGATAGCTCAGTGGTTTAAAGCGCCTGCGTAGGCAAGCGCAGGGACTGCAGCTCGATCTCCAGCATCACGTGCTATACCAGCCCCGCCCCCAGGAGAGGCTGAGCAGGCAAAAAAAAAAAAAAAAAAAAAAAAAAATTCCAACTATTAAAAAAAAGAAAAGAAAGCAAAGGTCACTGCTCACTTCTGGCAGACCATGTGAGGGATGCTGCCCCACAAGACCAAACAAGGCCAGGCTGCCCTCGACTGCCCCAAGGTGTCTAATGGGCTCCAGCCACCCTGTGACAAAAAAAAAAAAAAAGTGATGATGGCTCTGCAGCCCTCAACGTGTGTGCCAGAAGCTGATGAGGAAGCTCCCCAACCAAGGCCGCCTGGTGCATGAGAGTAGGTGAAAGTAGCAGGCGGTAACAGGCACCCTGGAGGAGAAGAGAGGAAGGAGAAGGCCAGGGCCCATTACCGGAAGCAGCACATGACCAGGCTACAGAAGCAGGCTGCAGAGCGTGTGGAGTGGACATGTTCACCAGGGTCCTCAGCCCACAGACTCCTGGTACAGCCCAGTGAAGACTGTTTAGGCCTCAAACACATTTTTTTTAAAAAAGTTCATTGTTCAGAGTAAATACAGTGAGCAGATGGATATTCTGCTATGTATATTCTGCTAGCGGTCCGTGTTCTGAAAATTGATTAAATGACTAAATAGACATCATTCATTTCTATCAAATATTGAACACTTTCTTTTCAAATATTTATTCTTACCTTAAATTTATTTATTCTTAAAATTATTTGGCACAGGGTCTCACCACGCAGCTTGGACTGTGCAGCTTGGACTATACAGCTCAGATGCAGCGTGATCCTCCTGCCTCAACCTCCCTAGAGCTGAAATTACAGGCATGTGCCACTATGCCATTTCAGTGGCTGGCTTGGCATGGGGCTGGCACGGCAAGTGGTCCTGGGGACTGAACCTGGGTCCTTGCTCTTGTCAGGCAGGCACTTAGGCCACTGCGCTATCTCCCCAGCCCCTTAAATTTATTTTTAATTGCTACATAAAATGTATGTACCAAATGGAGTGGTGATGTTTCAACACAGGTATTTATTGTGCAGTGTTTAAATCATGAGAAATATGTCTCCCTCTGGGGCTGGTGAGATGGCTCAGTGGTCTAAAGCACCTACTTAGGACAAGCTTAGCAAAGCCCAGGGCCCACAGTTCAATCCCCCAGCACCACATGCCAGCCAGCCCGCCCCCTGGTGGGCTGAGCTGGTCACACACACACACACACACACACACACACACACACAAATAAATAAAATTTTTAGAAAAAAAAGAAATATGTCTCCTCAAACATTTATCATTCTCTTATGGTGAAAATATTCCAAGTCCTTTCTAGCTATTTGAGATCAGATGAGATCAGGCACGTTCAGGGTGATATGGCCGTAGGCTTTGCTAGCTAGGTGAAACACACAGGGATCATCATCGTCGCTAGCCATCCTGCTGCACTACAGAACTTCTCGCTCCTACCTCACAATGACTTATTTTCTGCTGGTCACTCTCTCACTGAGTCTCCCTCCCCACCACACTCCTCAGCCTCCAGAAGTGAGTGTTCTACTTTCAGCTTCTGTTTGATCAACCCTTTCTGATTACACCCTTGAGTAAGATCATGTGACACCTGTCTTTCTGTGCCCAACTTAATTCTTTCATCAGAATGACCTCCAGATCCATCTATACCATTGCAAGTGACAAGGTTCTGTAATTTTAATGGCTGAATAGCATTCTGTTGTGCACGTGTACATTTTCTGTGTCGCATGATGAACACACTGTTTCCTTTCCTTGGCTGTTGTGGGTAACACTGTAATGAGAGTGAAACTGCCTTTGACATGCAGATTTCATTGCCTTTGGCTGTGTATTCAGTAGTGGCATTGCCACAATATATGGCATTCCTATTTTTAATCTCTTTAGGAACTTCCCTACTATTGTCCACAATGGCTGTACAAATTTACACTCTCAATCACAATATTCATTCTCCTCAACACTGTCTTTCTGATAACAGCCATCCTTATTGGAACAATGTGATTATTTTCCTGATAATGATGACAATTAACAGGGTGGAGGGTCTGTCACATGCCAGACACCGGACAGGCACCTTGTATACACGATCCCACTGACTTCTCACAGGACCCTACCAGGGAGGTGGCATTCTTTCCAAGGAATCAAGGGAACAGGAGGTGAAGTCATTTGCTGGTTCTACTCAGTTTGTGGGTGACCCAAATGCAGTTCACTCAGAGCTCTCCCAAAGCCCATGACTTGTCTCACATGGCCACATCATCCAGTGACACTTAGCAGAGTCAAAGAGATATAGAGGAACTTAAAATCTCAATCACAAGCTTGCAAAACTGTTTGAGTGAAAGTGAAGACAAAGTTTCAGATCTTG